TGTTTGAGACCAGCAGCAACCACGAACGCCCGCAAATGGTTCCACTGTGGAGGTGGGGTGACTTTCGTGTCACATCCTTTGGCAGCTGTGTTTCCCGTTGTTTATGAATGTGGCCACCTGTGATTACTGCAGCCGAGGTGCTGGAAGCCCAACATGGCTAGGAGCGGGAGCGCCACAACGCCAAAAAAGGCTGCGGCACCTCAGGTGAAGATCAGGGGCCATGCCCTAACACCCCCGGACGTTTTGGGCCGGGTTGCGGGCGCTTTCAGGGTTTAAATACCACAAAAGCTCGAGGAACCCCGGGACTTCTAATGAGGCTTCGGGCTTGGAAGTGTGTCGAAGGGTGAGGGCGTTGTTGCGTGGGACTTCAGCTCGTGGGAGATCAGGGTTTGGAGGATGCTTCGTGCCTTCGGACGTCGGGTCTTATGCTAAGTTCTGCCGAAACCTATTCTCACATGTACCCTGACGTCTGTGGCTGTCCATGGAAAAACCTTTCAACTTAGGTTTCAAGGGTTCTTCTGAACATCCTACACGAGTATGGGGAAACCCTGACATAGCCCGACGCTCCACAAGCCCTGAACCCTGCAAACGACAGGGGTGTACCCTGAAGGTCCCGTCTCCACAATCATGCCCACCTTCGCATAGCCAAACATGCCGAGTTGGCAGCCTCTTGGGCCGTTCCAGGGGCATTCAGGGGCTTCAGTGCTCAAGGCTTCAGGCACTGGGATGTGAAGACAAAGACTCGCCCAAAACCTCCAAATCCAAAGAAATCCCAGAACCAGTCTAGCCCCAAAACTAGTCCAGTGCCTCGAAATTCTGATCTATTGGCTTTGTCATGGGCTTTTCCTGCTCCATCCTTAGGATGGAAGCTCTAGGCAAGTCAACCCTCATGCTGGATGGCCGAGTTCGTCTTCTTAGCAGGAAGGTTGAACTGAGGATCCCCAAGGCTTCGGCAAAGGCTGAGTCTGGTCTCACAGGGAATTGCCCCAAAGGCATATGCCTGATGGTAAGGCCTGGGGCCACCTTCACAGAAAGGGCCATGTGCTTAGCCAAGGCAGCCTCGTACGAAGGTCACCTCTCGTCAGATGCAGGATGCTGCTCAACTCTTGGCCTCTTGAAGCCCACTGGTCTGCGCCCTGAAGGCCGGAGATACGCATAAAGCACCGAGCCAACGCCGGCTCTGGGGAGGCACGGCCGAGGTGGGCCGAGGAGAAGGGAAGAAACGGAATGTTCGAAACGCGTTGAGAACGGCTAGAAGCGGAAGGCAGCAAACACGCTCTGGAAACACACACACACACACACACACACACACACACACACAAGCTCCGCTGAAGCGCGGTGCCCCCAACGGCAGACGGACAGCCATCCTCAGTGCCGCACTGAAACTTGCCGACGAACCGAAAATTGCTCGATTCGAGTCTGCATTGCACGGAGAATGGAAGGAATCAAGCCTGTGGGGCAGGCTCAGGCTCCGGGAGCTCAGAAGCTAAAGTCGGCGGGTCATTGAAAGCAAAGGTAGGTCTGAGGAAGGGCGAAAGATGGCGAGAGGAACTCCGGTTTACCATAGCTGTCAACCTAACGCTACACGACCTTCCCTCCCTGGGCCCTCGCATCCACCTCCCAGCCAGGGCCTCCCCTCCCAAACTGAGCCCCAAGCCCCGCTCAGTTTGTTCATTTCTCGTTGTTTGCCTGTCTTAGTCCCTGTTAACATCACCCTTAGGGGGGCACCCTAAACCCTAAACCCTAAACCCTAAACCCGAAACCCTAAACCCTAAACCCTAAACCTAAACCCCTAGGGGGCAAAGCAGCCCCTAACTTCAGCCTCCAGAACGCCCACGCCAGCGACAGGCATGTCGCGGCCGCACACAGCATGGCGGCGAAGAAAGCTGCATAGTTTCCTGAGATGCTGAAGGAAGAGGTTTAGGGTGTAGGGTTTAGGGTTTAGGGTTTAGGGTTTGGGGTTTGGGGTTTACGGTTTAGGAGGAGGAGCAGGGACAACCGGTCAACCAGCTCATCCCTGACTCCCCTGGTGTCACCCAAGATCCCTACACCTGTCGCCCACAGAACCCTGCAACCTTCTGGCCCCAAGCCCTTCGTTGCACAACGAGCCATAGTTCGGTGAGGTGGCTCAGTTTCTATGGAACATGATTCGTTTTAAGGCTCCGGGCTGTGGCTTTTGTCCGAAGAGTTTTGGGGGTTAAGGTAAACTCTCACAAACTCCCAGACCCTCAGCCCAACGCAGACTGAAGCCTAACGGAATGACAAGAGTTGGGACGGGCGGCTGGGGGTCCGAAGCTTTTGGCTTCTGATTCTAAACGTTTAGAAGCCAGGGTTGTACAACGTAGGAGTTTGCATTGGGCAGCGCATCAAGGCCAGCATGCAGGACAGGACGAGTCACTCTTCATGGGAAGATTGAGGCCGAATCCGATGGTATGTTTCTACTCAACAGTGCACATTGCTCCTTCATTTTGACCTCGTGCGTGCTGTTGGCTTCACACAATGCTGCTGGATTGTTGCATTGTTGGTAAGGTACTGAAGCATCCCAGGTTCAACTTGATCTTCGAGCTCAATCATGCACTGTTTGCGCTGTCTTATAGTTGTGGGAAGCCCTCGCATCTTGAAACAATAAACTGAGAGAAGGCGCCAGGCCCGACCGAGTTTCCTCAGCTCTGCGGAAGTACGGACCCTCTGAAGACACTTTGAGGGTTTGGGCAGGCCGTTGTGAAGAGAACAGCTGAATGAGTCAACGCTATTCGCAACCCTTGAGTGCTACACAAACGGAGGGAAAAAACCTGAACACTGAACTGAAGCATGAGATCCGGATCTTAACCTTTACAAACCATCGCTCGCCTTGCTTTGGCGACACAGCTGGACTTTATAGGGTGTAGGAACACGCGGGCACACACACAGGCACGGACAAACACAGACATACACAGACACACACGGACACACACGGACACACGCAGACACACAGACAGACACTCACAGACACGCACAGACACACAAATACACACAGACAGACACACAGACAGACACACAGACAGACACACAAAGACACACAAAGACACACAAAGACACACAAAGACACACAAAGACACACAAAGACACACAAAGACACACAAAGACACACAAAGACACACACAAAGACACACACACACACACACACACACAGACAACTAATTTTAGCTGAACTGATAGTTGAGCGTGGGACGGAGCTTGAACAGGCGGTGCTGCAGATCGCTTATACAACTGAAACACGCGCACGTCGCACATTTGTGCTACCAGACCATGCTGCTGTTCATATTCCGGCACCCCGTGCTAAGCAATGCTTGAAGGATCTTTGGGCGTTGAGGGCTCTTTAGGGTCGTATTCAGGTGCTGGCTGTGCATTGTCGGGGTGCAGCGGTCACATCCCAAGGGTCGGAGGAAGGCGCAGTAGTGGTCGAAGATGGGGACGCACTGCCGAGTGGCGGTGCCTGAGTCTTGCGCTGACAGAACTCCTACCATGAAACCCTCAATTCAATCTCAAAGCCCAAAGCAGAGCCCAAGTTTGAACCCAAGCTCGCCCCAACAGTCGCGAACTCTTCATCCTGATCCTTGAGCTCAAAAGGACCCAAATCCCTGACTCCGCTACGCAACCACACCCTTCACTTGACCAAGCTGGGGGGCAGTACTTCGACCTCTCCGGGCCCACCATCTCCAGCTCGTGGTGGAGAGGGGCCCTGTCAGGACTATAGCTATTCGTTAAGGTGTTCAGGGTTTAGGGTTTAGGGTTCAGGGTTCAGGGTTTGGGGTTTGGGGTTTAGGGTTTAGAGTTTAAGGTTTAGGGTTTAGGGGAACACGGTGCTGTTGAAGGTTGGGGTTTCTGCAGAGCCTGGCACTTGACTAACCGGCTAAGGATATCTAAGGCCCAAGAGCTATCAATCCATCACCAGCTCACACTCCCAAGCCAATGCAGGAAGACCCAACATCCAACCACCAAAATCACAAAGGCCTTGATCACCAAGACTTCTCCAAAATAGCAAGCAGTTGAAGCAAAACGTTTTCTATCAACAAACATGCAAAAAAAAGAACTGGTACAGAAGGCCTCTAACAACAAATCAAAACCAACAGAAACACGAAGTCAGAACATCCCCACCCTGACACGAAGCTGTTTGATGTAGGGATCATCTTAGGTACGGTACTCTAGGGATTCTCTGCAGAACTCACTCTTGGTGGGCTCTACACTCCAGGGATACTCTGCTGGATTCTCTGGGATGCTCTGCAGGAGGAAGTGGGGTTTGGCATTTGGAACTTGGGTATGGCATGGCACTTTCAAAAAGGATTCTCTGCAAGATCTGCGAGGTTCTCTGCGAGATTCTCTGCGAGATTCTCTGAGGTTGGCAACCCTGGGGTGGTCTGGAGGATTCTCTGCGACAGACTCTCTGCGGCATCTCCGCGGGATGGCGAGCAGAGCCGGGCAGGTCTGGAAATTTACGCTTCACCTTACGTCCTTTGTCTCTAAGCCAGCCTCAGCATCGGAGTTTGGGCAATACCTTCGAAAGTCTCTTGATGCCTCGTGCATGTCTTGACAAACGCGTGAACACTCTTGAGTCACTTTTACACGAAATCAGACACACTTCAGGAGCATGCCAGACACTTCTCTTCCTGCCCGAGGGTTCTCGTGGACACGGGCTGGCAGACCCTTGCAGGACTGGTAGCTCGGTTTCACGGGTCAGTTACTGACACAGCGTCTGAAATCCCACTTCATAGTGGAGCCAGCATCGTTGTTGTCCTTGCAAATTGAGGCGGGTAGCGTTTTCGCCGTCTATGTATGGTCACAAGGAAGCTTTTCTTGTCAGTCAATGTTACTTGCTGTACTGCCATTGATTCCTGATACTACGATAACAAGTCAAAACTACAAGCCACTTAGTTCAGCGTAGCTCACAGCCCAGAGCTACTATTTCGAGCAACGCCCAGGCCTGGTGCCCCACCAAGAGAACTCCGAGTTGTCGGCATCCGCAGCGCGAACTGCCTCTGTCCGTTGGGTTTTGCGCTCTGTGGGCCTAAACCCTAAACCCTAAACCCTAAGGTGCTTTCGATGCCAAGCCGCTGCAGCATGGTCCACAGCCTGGCGATACCTGGCGGTTTCTCTACATTGTGGCCTCTCTTGGGGTCCTTACTAGAAGCGGCCCCTCTTCTTTAGGGCAGTTTAGGGTATCCAAAAAGGGACCACAATTTAGAGAACTGACCACCTGGCACCCCCAAAGTTTTGGCTCGTGGACTAGGCGGGACTAGGCGGGACCGTGTCAATGTTTGTCTGCTTTGTTTGAAAGACCCGCTCGCCTTGTTCGCAGCTCCGGTGACGGGGCAACGCTGCCGGGGCTCTGGCTGGACGCTGCCACGAAGCACAGGGAGCCTCCGAGCCATTTGCAGGTCTGTACCTTTGCCGAAACCTCGTTCAAGTCAACAACCGAAAACCATCCCTGCATCCCAAGATTTAAATGCTTCTTTCTTCCCCGAATCCAAGCACCCCGAAACATGAGACCTCTACCCCAAGCTCGAAACCGAAGACTCCCACAACACCCGTGGCAATGGTAGAAGTGTTTTGAGGCTGGCCCACGCAAGTCGTCGCCACGGAGAACACAGCTGCAGTGCGGCCAGCGCTGTCCCCTTCACCGCAATCGCCCCTTGCCAAGGCTTTACACGCAGGTTTACAAGGGAAAGCTCCCAAGTGTGGGGGTGAAAGGGTTTTAGGGTTCAGTATCGTGCTGCATGCGGGACCAAAGATTGGAAATAGAGATCTGAAGAACCTAAGCTTCTACATAAACCCGAAAGCCTAACGACCTGAGCCCTCACAACACCACCAGACCCTGCAAAGGCCGCCCCCCCCACAAACCTCCGCGAACATCCTCAGGGCTCCCCTTGAGCGCTAGCGCCCAAACCCACATGTAAGTAACCACAACACACACACTAACACTAACACTAACACTAAGACTAAGACTAAGACTAAGACTAACACTAACATGCTAACATTACTTACCACCAGACAGAGAACCACCAAACAGAGAACCCATAGATCTCCCGCGATTCCTTTTCAACACTCCAAAAGGCCAGCAAATAAAACAACAAACATGCCACACCCCGCGGACAGAGCGCTGAAATCTTGAAGCCCAAGCCACCTCAGCAGGATCCATGCCCCAACAAGCGCCAGGATGCCGCAGAGAATGCAGGCCTTCCGACACTGCATATGAGCTGTAGGACTTGCTTGGAGCTTACTCAGGGCTTAGGTTAAGGCTATGGCGTGCTTTGGTCCAGAAAATTCGAGGGCAGCGCAGGGCGGTGTCTTGAACGAAACGAGTTTCCCTAAACACTATTCGCTTAATGGCTTAATGTGTAGGCCCAGACCCGATTCCCATAAAGGGACAAACTATGCGCAGGAATGATGTTTCCCTTATGTTTCTGGTGCCGCCGGATTGCACGCTTCATGTTTATGCCTAAACCTTATCCCGAAACCCGATTTGTTTAAGGTTTAGGGTGAAACCCTATCCTACGCAATAAAGAATCACCCAAACCCGAAAATAAATGTCCTCGAACATTCAAAACTGACGGTAAATTCTGCCCGTAGACAACCAAGGCTCAACATTTTAGGTTTCGCACCTAGACCGAAGCCCTATTCCTAAGCTTAACGACTGACGAACCCTATTGTGAAACACAATTCGTTTAATGCTTCGGCGTGAGCCCGAATCCTAAACTTGTTTGTTGAGAGTTTAGGCCAAAACTCGACACCGAAATATGAAAGACGTCCCTAAGCATCAACCCACAAGAATTTCTCTAAGCCTCTAAGCATCAACCCTGAAGAATTTCTCTAAGCATGAAACACCAACCCCATTCCTGAATGTTGTTCGTTTGCGTGTTCCACACAAACGGCCTCCATCTTGCGTTTCCCTCATACGAAGACCAGGAACACGCCATTTGTGTTTTTGTACGTAATAGGGCTTGCATCGGGCATTTGCTCATAAACGAGCCCAAGACATGTCGGTTACGAACTGCATGTTCGACGAATTACAACCTCCATCATACTATTTTTTGCCACAGGTGAAGCAGTTTGATTGATTGGGGAAGGAAGGGCTGATTTATATTAGGGGGAAGCGATAAATTCAGCTAGCCAGGAGAAGAAGTAAAATGTGCAGACGTGCGCTCTTGAGCTTGATGGCCAGCCCCCGTTTAAGGTGAGCCTACGAGCCCTGCGCCACAGGCTTATGCGAGCGTGTGGGGGATTCTAACCCACAACATCCCACAACTGATTCAATCTTCCCTGGCTATTACAAGCCTGCCCCCCGGCCAGCATCCTCACTTGAAAAGTGGATCTCAGTTCTGGCTTACGTCACTTCTCGTTCCAAGCTTTCATGCGGGGAGCGCAGGAAGCAAAACGAACAGATCCACCAAACGCCTTGTCCCAAAAACCCTAGACCCCCTAATATCTAGACCTCGAAGACAGCCTGCCGGGGCTCCACGTGGATCTGCTCTGGCCCACGCCAGCACCGGGCCTCTCGCCATGCTGATGTTAAAGGCTGAGGCCGAGTAAAACTGTAGGAAGATCTGGAAGCTGCTTCTGGGTTATGGGTAGGTAAGGGCGACTTTTGGTGGAGGTTTCTTTGCTGTCGGGCGTGTTTTTCTTTGCTACGGAGGCAGGACGCGTTTCTTTGATTGCGGAGGCCGGGCGCTATTTTTGTTGTAGAGGAGGCTTTGAAGTCGGGCGTGTTGTTTTTACTGTGCATGATGGTCAGGTTTCGAAAAGCCAGCTTGCACGGCTAAAATGTGGGGGTTGGGGGGGTGCAGCCCCCCATTTGCAAACATAATGCGCGCATGATGGGCTTCAAAAAGACTCATATGCTTTGACGATTTCGAACTTTCTTTCTTCACGTCTTTCTTTCTGTCCTTCTTGCTGTACTTCTTCTTCACCTAAACAAAATCTACCGTGGCCGGCCCTTCGTTGCTCACTCACTTCCTGGCCGCTGAGGCTCTGCCATAGCAAAAAAGACCGCCACACCACAGCAAAAGAGAAACCCGGCGCAGTGTTTGCTGCAGAGGCCGGGGAGCGACTTTTTTTGCGGCGGAGCCCAAGCTCGCTCACTCACCTGCTGGTCTGCCAAGGCTCTTTTCCAGGGCACTTTTGTCTTTGTTGCCTCCACAAAGCCGCCACGGCAAAACAAGACACGGCCGCGTTTTTGTGGCTCAGGAGGGCTTGTTTATGTGGGTCGCCTTGCCAAAAAGGCGGCAACAACAATAAAAACACAGGTTCTTTCATGGGCAGCTGCGACTTTCTCATGGTTTGCATCAAGACTGCAATAGACGGGTTATGATGCCGGCCCCTGCTGACATCACAAGCGTAAAAAGTCGATGTTTAGGTTTGGCGCAGAGTCGGATCCATTGCGTGGTGTCTTGCAGGGAAAGACATCGCGGACTGTCATTGCTTGTGCACTGCTAGCTTGACACAGCTGCCCATGCGTCGCTGTACATCGCTATGGTCTGCCTGAGGACTGGTTGAGGAATGGTTGTTGGGCTGCCAGACAAGCAGAAAAGCATCGTGCGCGCGCTCATGTAAACGAGGAAATGATGACTAGGCCGCCTCACAGAAGCCTAACTCGCTGAAGAAGTCTCAAGAACAGAACCCAGCCTCGCCAAACATAGGGGCCTGAATAATTAGAATAGGGTTTCGGGGTTTATTATCATACAATTCTAAAGGGATCATAAGGGGATACTATCAGTAATTATTCCTAATAGTCCAGCCAAACCGGAAGCCAACCAGCCCTGCTTCACCCTGAATACCCTGAAGGTGCCTCCAACGGAAGGAAGCCGCCCCCTAGACGTGGGTCACAGGGGCCGCCTCCCTCCAGTACGTCGTGGCACCCCACCTTCAGATGGCTCTTTCAATAGGCTTTAGTTTGGGTTTTGGGGTACGGGGCTTCCGGCTGCTACAGGATTGGTTGCTTGAGCGACACGACTCCGGCATTGGAGCATCACTCTGGATCGGGGACATAAGAATACAGATGCGCTAGAGAAGAGAAGAGAAATGACAGCAACCTGACAGCAAACCCTCCATCTGCTCGTTAGGGGGAAGGAAAGGGCCACGGACGAAGGTGGATTCGGCTTCTTGAACAAGGCCCGGCAACACCCTGTGGCTCAAGTCGCAGGAGCTGTCCTTCGTCGTTTCATGTCGTTTCTCTCCAAAAGGACGACCCCCTAACCTCCCCCCTTCGTCCTTTCACCTTCCAAGAAGACCCAACCCTCCCATCCGTGGACTCGCCCTTCGCCCGCTCCCTCTTTTGCAAGAGGTAGAATCATCCCATTCCTTCATCCTTTTCCTTCCTGCACATTGCAAAGCGGAGGGAAAAAATTTCTTTGGCGAGGCCTTGTTGGAAAGCGCAACGAGTTCACAGCTGCTTGGGGGTGGACCCGAGCTTTGGGCTCCGTGAGGAACCCCGCAACTCTGAATCCTGTCCTCCACGTTCATGTGAGAACTTGGACACCCTCGTACCTTGCAACCTCTGAAGCAAACTCAGGCTCCATGGTTTCGGAGTTCAGGTGCCCCGATTTGACAAAGCAAACTGCAAGGCCTGGGGTGTAGGTTCAAAGGCTGAAGCAGGGCTCACTTCTTACTTTGAAGACACACCACAACCCACACGCAGTCAGCAAAACCAAGCACCCAGCCTTGCTCTGCAGGCACCGACGCAACCAAAAGCGGCAAGGCCCCGGCTTGATACTGGACAGAGCCTGCGACGCTGCGACGCGCCGAGTGGGCCACAACCCAGAAACGGATGTCCCTATGAAGCCCTGATGCCATGCATGAAGACGTGTGGAGGCTGCGCAGCAAGTGGTCGCATGTCATAGTATATCATGCCATCTCTCCGTCACAGGAAAGATCCGCCGAAATCCAGTGATCGTGTGCTACACCACAGCCGCACCCACGAAGCGAAGCTGCAATTAGCAAGTTGCTGTACTCAAACATCTGTCCCGTCCGCCTCATGTCACGCATATGTTTCATCCAACCCCCGGCCCCAATCGCAAGCTGGCGGATGCTTTGAGAAGCCTCCAAGCCTAGCCCCACTTTCCAACAACTAAACAACTTGGGATTCTCTCCCTTGTACTAACAGTCCTCAAAAAGGATTGACTAATACTTGGGATGTTCCCCCTTATGCTAACAGTCCTTAATGGGGATGACAATGGGGAGGTACTAGCATCCCTATTAAGGACTGTTCCTTAATGGGGATTATTAAGGGGTACTAGAATCCCCATTAAGGACTGAAAGCATAAGGAGGGAACATTCCAACAAACAGCACAAGCTCCCTCCTACAGCCAGGCCTCGGCCTGCTCGTCTGCGGTTATGCCCACCACCAGCACAAGGTACCTCAAAAGGTTTAGGGTTTAGTTTAGGGTTTAGGGTTTAGGGTTTAGGGTTTAGGTGAGGTGAGGTGAGGATCGACCGAGGCACGAGCCTGGCCTAACAAAAGGGCGGCCCCTCCGGCACAAGGCTTAAGAGGCCAGCCCCAACAACACACGACACGACAACCACAAAACAAAAAGGAACAGCAACGCGAAACGAACGAGACAACGCAACGCTCTGCGGACCTCCATGGCGAGCTAATTTGCCCTCGCCCTGACCACCCAAAGGCTCACGTCCTTTACCGCTTCTACCTGCGCGAGCATCTCGATGAGGACCCTGTGAAGCTGCAGCAGAAAAACGAGGCGAAACCACGCGGGTAGAGGCCGGATGAACCAGGCGTCGACGGTGCTGGAGGGGGGCTTGATCCCCGCTCGCACTCAATAACCACTGATTCACTTCGCGACCTTACTTGGCTGACATTTCCTTCCCAATCCATGAGTCTTGAGTTGTACACCACGTGCTTCCCAATATCCAGCTTCTCTGCCTTGTGATGTTGTCCTCGAGTCTGCGCCCACGCAGCATACCAACGCGAGCACCGCTCGCACCGCTACCGCGTAGCGTACGCACTGCGAGCACCGCCCGCACTTCTACCACGCCGCCCACGGTCGTCACGTAAACTGCTATCCCCACGGCTCCGGCACCGCCGGTGTCTGCGGCCAGTGCGAGAGCGTCGGCGCCCGGGGTAGACCCTACCCCCGCCTTGCTCACGTCTCCCATCCCATCCCAAACTGCCACCATCCGTCTGTGCAACTGCCGGGTCCGCATCGCCCTGCTGCCAAAAAGTAGGCTCCGAGCTCCGAAACATAGTTGAATTCGAAAAGGGGCCCCACGGCCTGTTATTTCCAAGTATCGCAGAAAAAGTGAATCCTCTCCAGAAATAGACCTCCAGATCCTCAAAGACTGCAACGACCCCCAACCCACGATTGAGTTGCACCCAAAGTCCAAGGAATGCACACATAACATCATACACCGAGGCACTGTCGCACTAGCGCCACAGAGGGGGGAAGAAGGGGGTGCTCGTCGAACCCTCAACCTGAGGATCTTAGTGCCGCCCCGGAGGTCCACCCAACTTCCAACTCCAGCCCCTCCGCAAGCCAGCGCTAGTCTCCGGGGTGGTTTAGGGTTTAGGGTTTAGGGTTTAGGGTTTAGGGTTTAGGGTTTAGGGTTTAGGGTTTAGGGTTTCGGGTTTCGGGTTTCGGGTTTCGGGTTTCGGGTTTCGGGTTTCGGGTTTCGGGTTTCGGATTTAGGGTTTAGGGTTTAGGGTTTAGGGTTTAGGGTTTAGGGTTTAGGATTTAGGGGAGTGGAAAGTGACCAGGACAAAGTCCGGTCGAAAGGCGGTATCACCTCCGGCCAGAAGGCTTAAGGATCAAACCGCAGAAGAAAAACAAACTCAAAAAAAAACCGACGTGCTCCAACAGAAGCACAAGCCAAACAACAGGCAAGCACGTCAAAAAATGGCAAACTACAGGAAGCAAGCTTCGCAACGGAGAGGTCGTTACAGCACGCGGGTAGGCACCCGCCAAGCCCGGGGAATGGATACCCCGAAAGCCAACAAGCTTCGCCACGAAGAGGTCGTTACAGCAGCACCGCGGGTAGGCACCCGCCAAGCCCGGGGGATGGATACCGCGAAAGCCAACAAGCTTTGTCTGGAGAAGGTCGACTGCGAGTTCGCGACTAACGGCATGTCGCACAAGTGCGCACTGGGGGCGGGGAGAGGGGTGCTCATCGAGCAGATGCTCTTAGTGCCGCCCCGGGAATCCGCACTCTCCACAGGCCATCCCCCAGCAACCACGCACACTAGTCCCCGCAAACTGCCAAAGCAGCCCTGAACGCCCGCGACCCGCTCGGCCGTCAAGCTCCAGACGCTCAGGAACACCCCTATATAGACTCCACTAACTCCTGGCCCGGGCCTGCATTTTATCCACTCCCAGCAGCGGCTCTTCCTCCACAGCTTCAACTGAGAGAACCGGCTCCTCCGAAGCCTCGCCGGCACCAGCCGTGTTCTCCTGCGCCGCAATGTTGCTGGCGCATGCTGCGCTGACCTTCCGGCAGCAGCACAGCTGCTGGAAGAACACGTCGCAGAGCGACATGCTGTCAGGACCGCTTGGACGGCACCTTCTGGCAGCTCTTGAGCCAAAATGGCTACGGGTTTAGGGTTTAGAGTTTAGGGTTTTGGGTTTTGGGTTTAGGGTTTAGGGTTTAGGGTTTAGGCTTTAAGGATTAGGGTTTAGGGTTCGGGGTTTAGGGTTTTAGGGTTCAGGGTTTGGGTTTCGGGCTTAGGGTTTAGGACTCAAAAGCAGTGAGTTGAAGCAAGAGTCTTCCGGGCTGTATCTGGAAGTTTTGCGGGAATCGGGCTGAGACTTGGGGGACCACTTGCCACCCCGAATATCGCTGGTTGCTCCAAAACCCTTGCTCGAAACACAGGGTTTGGGGTTTGGAGCATCGGGCTTGGGGCGCAAGTTGTGTGCTGAGTGATCTCGTACATGGGAAGCTTTGAAGAAGTATTTCCATACAGGCTGTGAAGGAGAACTGCGGCAGAAAGATAATGAGCTGAACAGGCAGAACGATGAGGGCAGGGAAAACACATGCGAAACCCGAACACTCCAAAATGCCAAATCCTTTCCAGAGGACCTCACCGGTCGCAAGTCGTTTGGCTCCAGAAGCCGTCTTCAAAGCACGGAAACTGCGTCCACAGAGTCTATACAGGCCGCAGTAGAGTCAGTAGAGGCAAGCCACATGCGTTGGAACCGAAGACCTGACCCCAATGCTTCTCGCAGCCAGGGGAGCTCCACAACTTCGAGCCGCGACCCTCGCACGGCCAGCCCTGAGCAGCAGTGAACCCGAGCGAACCCTAGCGCAAGTCCCAGGTCTTCCTTTGCGCTGTGTGAGCTGCGTGTCTTTGATGGGTTGCTTTTTTCGAGGGTGGTCAGGGCTTTTGGGCTCTGATCTGTGGCTTTTGGGGTGGGCTGGAGGGCTCTGGGAGTGGAAGTTAGTTCGGGAAACTTGTCCCTCAGATGCGCCTGCCGAAGGCAAGCTACGATTCAAAGCAGGGCTTTAGAAGGCAAACCGCTTCGTCGGCCTAGGGGTGTGTCGCCCGAAGCAGTGCGGGCATCCAGCGGTGCGCCGAGTGTTCGCAGCAGGGCCACCAGCCTTGGCGACTGCAAGGAAATCTAGAGAGTGGAGAGGCGGGGGGGAGGCCGGAAATGGGTCTACTCCACCTGAACTCCTTTTTTCTGGGGTGTCCTTGACTCACCATGGACTAGCACCAAGGCCAGCAGGTTAGCGTGTGGTTCCCACAGCAGCGCACGAGTCCGCAACTGGGGACAAGCTTACACAGGAATCGGCCGAACTGGCACGCAACACTATGCGGAAACCGCATGAAGTGAACAACAGTGCACCCAAGATAGAAGCTTCAGTGCAGCCGGGTGCGAGGACGATCCCAGCTCCGCTGCCCAGTGGAGAGGGGTGAAGCCCAGCGCATCTGCAGCCCTCGGCGGAAGGACTATTGCCTTTCGGGCTCAGGCCTTCAGGATCTGGAGTGTCGCATTGCTACCGCGAGACTGCGGAGCTGCTTTCAGCTGGGTTTCGCCAAGGCCGAGGTCGGATGGTTTAGGCTTTGGGCTTAAGGTTGGGGCTTGAGTCAACTTCTCAAGGAAGCGAGACGCCGCCTTTGCAGCACGGCCGAAAAACTGTCGGGGAGGGGTGGGACATTCAGCTTATTGATGCTACCACCACTGACGAACCAAAGACCGACCGAGACATTCCCATCGCCCAATAGAAAGGCTGGCAAATGAACTGCCCAACTGAACGATCCAGTTCGTTCAGTCAGCCCTTTTGCATTTTGTGCACAAGGTCTACCTGCTACATCTCCCTCGGGCTTAGGTTCTTTCATTAGGGCCGGGGTTAAAGTTGCGCGCAAACGTCCGGCGTCAGGGTGATGATACTGCAAACAAAGAGGCCGGAACTGGCCAGATGTCTCCAAATCCTCCAAAGACTCCTTCAACTCCTTCAACCCCCAAGAAATCCAGATGCTCAAAGCTCATTTGCAACGCAGGGGCGTTAGGTCTGCACCATTCTTCACCAGCCAGACAATTGCCTTCCCAAGGCTGGCAACGAAGATCACTGACGATCGCTAGTGGGAATCAAGTGTGCGAAGGCACCCAAAGCCTGCAACCAGAGAATAACTCCACAAGCACATCTAAAGCACGAATCTGGAAGCCCCGGGACGACTGCAAGCGCGGAAAATTCCTCCCTTATGCCGGCGCCTACGGCTGAAGAAGACCGTTTCAAAAAGGTGGCCATGTTGAAGCAGTTTAGGGGCCTCTGCGGCACGTCCCACCACAGCGTGGATCAGCGGCACACGGCCTCCAGACATCAGAGCATGAACGATGCAGGAATCCAGCAACCACCCAACCAACCAGGGAGTCTTGTTGTTCATGGGATTGCAAGGTGGACGACGTGGCATTCATGGTCTTAAGACTTTGCGACGTATCATAGGCCTCTGCAAGGCCGAGGTCCTAAGTGGGGAAAGTGCAATAAACATGGCATTGCGTTGGCACGTACACACACACACACATATGCTTGGAACTTTTGCAAAGCTTGGTTCCTTGCATCAGTCATCCAAAACAACCGTCAACCAAGTCCAAACCAGCATGCCAATGATATAATGTGTGCATGGGCAACCTCAACCCAACCCGATAGCAGACTTGACCACACTTTCGGGAACTCTCACTGATTTCACAGAGCCACTTCCTAGTCAAGCACATTCTAAGTGTGCCGCGATGCAAGCCATATCGCTGCTCGAGAGCCTGTCTAGTAGGAATTTCTTGGCCTTGCACGAGCCCGTCCTTTGTCTCTCGTAAGGCGGGGGGACGCGTGTGTCGCGCGGCGATGTTCAACTCCATCATGCGCCACGAGACAGCATTGCCATCCCTCCTTGCAAGGGAACCTTCGCCGTCCAAGCCCTGAAGATTCAACCCACGCCTTGGTCATCTTTCTCGTTGATGCTGTCCTCACACAAGATCCACACCACCGATCCGGGGATCGGTGGATGCAGGGCCAGGGGCTCCAGGGAGCCTGCTTAAAATCGGCACTTGGGGTTGAGGGTTGAAGGCCTTGAGCTTGAAATAACTGCAGTTGAGGAACAAAGGTGTTAGCTTTTGCATCTTTGATCAGGATGGCTAGCCTCGAACTGAAATTCGAAAATGAGAAGCGCTGGCGAGAAAGAAAGCAGTGCAGAGTACGGTCGGATGTCATGTTGAACCCACGAGCACCTGATACGCGTGCTTTCTCTGAAGGAATTCCCCCCACCACCGCTGTTCTAAAGTCCTTCTTCCGGGACAGCAGGAAGTCCAGGGCTCGCAGCTGATTGGCCGCTGCTGCCAGGTGCAAGGCTTTGGCGCCGCAAAACTCCTCTGCGGCGAGAAAAGAACAGGCTCCATGAATTCAAGGAGTGTAGGCTGGTGTTTTCCTTGTTCTTGAATTTGGGAGACACTATGTCACTATGAGTGCACTCTTATCGGGCACGGCGCAAAGTCACAAAGCTTTCGAGCTTGGCCTTTGCTGCTCGGGCCCCAAGCACACGCATGCGTGTGCAAGCGCACACCCACGCGCCACACGCAAGTGCACACGCACGTGCACACGCGCACACGCACACGCGCATACGCGCACACAATATAAAAAAAGACAGACAGAGAGAGAGAGAGATAGAAAAAAATAAAATAAACGAGAGAGAGAGAGAGAGCAAGAGAGAGCAAGTGAGAGAGTGAGAGAGTGAGAGAGTGAGAGAGTGAGAGAGTGAGAGAGTGAGAGAGTGAGAGAGTGAGAGAGTGAGAGAGTGAGAGAGTGAGAGAATGAGAGAGTGAGAGAGTGAGAGAGTGAGAGAGTGAGAGAGTGAGAGAGTGAGAGAGTGAGAGAGTGAGAGAGTGAGAGAGTGAGAGAGTGAGAGAGTGAGAGAGTGAGAGAGTGAGAGAGTGAGAGAGTGAGAGAGTGAGAGAGCCCCTGGCAGAAAGCCAACTTCGACCACCCTGAAGAACTTGAAGATGCCATAAGTTCTGCTGGCCTTTTGCAACTCCGCATCGTCGAGGGCAGACAGTGCAGCCACATCGCCTCAGAGTGCCGGTCATTGCGAATTTACCAATTTTTCCAAAGTTCCGAATTTCCGAACTTCCGACTTTCCGAGCTTCCGAATCTCGTAACTCGCAACTCACGCAGCGCTCTGACGGGTTTAGCTCAGAGGAGTCTGCAAGGTCCCAGGGGTGGGTCTGGGGCTTGGGGACTAGGGGGATGATTCGGGCTGGGTTTAGTCTACCCCTTCATGGCTTGGACATCATCGCTGCACCGACCTTGGGTGAGTCGGTCCATCTGATGGCCGGGTCACCACGTTGCGCCGCGGTGTGGGCCGGACCTGTGCCAGGCATGTCTCAATCGTGAACATTCGTGAGGACACGAAGGCACGACCAAGGCGGGCTCCAAAGAACTCGGAATCAACTGTGGAGAGCAGCGGTTTCGGTTGGTTGAGAGCGCTGTCTTGCTTTAAGCTCATTGCGCAGACCTTGGACAGTCGCCTGGTTGACTGAAATTGGGCTCCAGGCTTAGGGTCTTGCTGAAACTTGGACTGCAAGAGAAAGACGGAAATTGGGCCTATTCTCAGACAAGAATGCTCCCAACAATGCGCACCCAGCAACCAAAACGTTTACCTGAAGCTCCGGTGGACAGCCATACCCACCCTAAACCCTGAACCTTAAACCCTAAATCCTATGCCCTAAACCCTAAACCCTAAACCCTAAACCCTAAACCCTCAACCCTAAACCCTAAACCCTAAACCCTAAACCCTGAACCCTACCCCCTAAACCCTAAACCCTAAACCTTAAACCCTAAACCCTAAACCCTTCTCGTTCCCGCCTTGCTGGAGAAGGGGCTCCCTCTTTTCCGCCATGGCTGGAGTCCACCGAACAGGTTTTCGATCACGTTTGGGTTGCCTTCTGCATTAGTTTTTTGGACCTTCGGGTTCAAGGTTTAGGGTTTAGGGTTTAGGGTTTAGGGTTTAGGGTTTAGGGTTTAGGGTTTCGGGCTCAAGGGCTTTGATGGGGTCAGAGATTCCCAGAACTGGAGATGGCTAGGGCTCACGAGACTTTGACATCGAGGGATTCGCATGTTGCGGTGTTGGTATTGTCAACTCACAACTGTATAATGTCTCAAATTTAGTGATGTAACCAGGCAAGAACCCATTTAGAATATCTCAAGTTTGGTAGCCACCAGCAAAAGAACCCAATTGGGATACCTCAAATTTAGTAGCGTGGACACTAAAACAAGAATCCGGCTAGGATACCTCAAATTTAGTGGTCGCCAAAGAAAGAAGCCGGTTAGGATATCTCAAGTTTATTTCGAGTTTGGTGATGTAGTCAAGAAGAAGAAGAAGAAGAAGCCCGGTTTAGATATCTCAAGTTTGATGCCCACAAAAGAAAGAGCCCAGTTGGGATGCATCAAGTTTGGTGGCGTGGCCACTAAGACAAGAGCCCAATTAGGATGCCTCAAGTTGAGTACGACATCAGAGAATCCGAGCACCGAGGCTGCACTTTTCATGAGGGCCGTTCAGCATGTCAAAGCATATTTTGCAACAGCTATGCGGCGTGCAGTGCATAATGATGGCTTGTTAAGCGCATCACCGAAGCATTCCATGAGAACAGCCCCAAAGGAACAGAAGCTCTGCACAGACTCTGTAAGGGAAAAAGCGCCTTCCTCCCTTCCTGTGCCCTTCGGGGCCCCGACCAGCGAACATCATACACGAACCTATAAGCAATAACCACTGGTCTGCCATCCCTACATAATCCCTATATAGCTTTAATCTATCCCCTACCCTAAAATCCTCCATTCTCGCTCAAGTCCCCTTGTTCGTGTCAAGGCCCCAACAAGTGCCGCCGTTCCAGGGGTCGATCCCACAGGCTTCGAATACGCCCTGCCATGCGAAGAATTTGGGGCACGAGCCCCAGACAAAGACTCCTGTTTTCCGGAGGATGTTGCTGCTGCGCCAATGAAGCCGCAAGCGAAAGAATTTGAACATCCTGCTGCCGCAAGGGTCCGTGCGTTTTGACTCAGACCACAAGCAACACAAATAGAGGGTGTATGCAATATGGGCCACCATGATATTGCATGCAGCAATACGGCTAGCCGCTTCGGAGCGACAGTCACCATGATGGCTGTGGAGCAGCTTCCAGCGGGTTGCAGCTCCCTCACACCCCGATCATCGGAAGAGCATCATATGCAAGCCTCGAGTCACCTGCGACTGACACATGCTCAAGTTCAACAACCCTTTAAAACCTACCCTAGATAATGTTTGCAGGAGGCCTGGATTGATTCCGTGCCTTTTCGGCAACTGGTGCACCAGTGCACCGGCCACGCCCTCATCTTAAACTCTCAGAGGACACGACCAGGGAAGCAGCTCGACCGGTTCTAGGCTTTTAGGCTGGATGTTCCATAGGGTTCGGGGCGGCTTGCGGCCTTGGGCGTCTGTGGCCTGCACTCATTCTGCGGGACGACGTCGCAAGTCTTCGTTTTGGTGTTGAGCTGAAGATGCCAGGGCACAGGAAATGCTTTTCGAACTTCCCCCGGAGGCTGTTGCTTCCGGGCACCTGACATACCCAAGCTGAAAAGAAAAGAATGAGGTCCTGGGAAGCGTGTTCCTACCGAAAGCATTTCGACGCCGTTATTGGAAAATGTGCACTTCATGGATTGTCGACAGCCAGGACCTCAATGGATGCCTAGAGCGGGATTCACAAATGAACCCGCTCGAGTCCAATGTCTATGACGACATATGCCACTCTGCTAGTCTTTCGCGAGGCAGAAGCCGCTTGAATTTTCAAAGCTGGTATTGACACAGGGCTTAGACACCAGTTTCAAAGTGGGTAAATGTCATAGTAGGAATGTCAGGACAAGGTCTCGATATTACCTGGCGGTTTGTCTGCAGCGTGCAAAAGAAATGCTTGCAAACGGTCGCTGCCTCAAGCTAGAGATTGTGGCAAAGGGTGCTGACGCTGCAGACACGCTGTGCTTCTGTTCCTACAAAGTCGTCAGCGTTGCTTCTGGCCCCAGGTCACAAGAGAACCATCGACACGAATTGCAGCAAAATCCGAGCCGTTGGCTTGGATCTGCTGCACACCTTGCAGCTCATCTTGGACAAGACTGCTGTCGCTGTCTCCCCAGGTCACAACCCTGCCATTGCCCAAAATGGCAGCAAAGGCAAACGGAGATGCTTGGATCTGCTGCACGTCCTTAAGCTGACCTTGGACGGCCCTGCTATTACCACCACGGCCATCATCGCCCCAGGTCACAACAGACCCATCGCCCAGAATGGCAGCAAAAGCGTCGCTGGTAGCTTGGATCTGACGCACGTCCTTGAGCTGGTCTTCCACATCACTGCTGTCGCCACCGCTGCCTTCATCACCCCAGGTCACGACGGACCCATCGCCCAGAACGGCTGCAAATGCGAAGTCGGTAGCTTGGATCTGCTGCACGTCCTGCAGCCGATGTTGTGCGTCACTGCTGTCGCCGCCGCTGAAACAACGGCCCCAGGTCACAACAGACCCATCGCCCCGAATGGCAGCAAACGACACCAAACTTGCTTGGATCTGCCGCACGTCTTTAAGCCAATGCTGGACGGCACTGCTGTCACCACCACGGGCTGCATTGCCCCAGGTCACAACGGACCCATCGCGCAGAATGGCAGCAAAAGCCGACATGGTAGCTTGGATCTGCTGCACGCCCTTGAGCTCATTTTGGACAGCACTGCTGTCACCACCATTGTCAGCATCACCCCAGGTCACAACAGACCCATCACCGAGAATGGCAGCAAAAGCTGTGTTGTGGGCTTGGATCTGCCGCACGTCCTTCAACTGGTCTTGCACAGCACTGCTGTCTCCACCATGGTCAGTGGAACCCCACGTGACCACAGACCCGTCGCCCAGAATGGCAGCAAATGCTTCCTCAGATGCCTGGATCTGCTTCACGTCCATCAGTTGATGTTGCACACCACGACAGTCCGCAGGGCCACAGGTCACAACAGACCCATCGCCCAGTATAGCAGCAACGCCCACCCCAGATGCTTGGATCTGTCGCACATGCTGCAGCTGCCGTCTGACAGCCCCCCCCCCCCCCGCCGGGTGCCAAGGATCGCAGCAAAAGCAGCAATGTTGGTGTGAACAATGCTGCTCATCTGCAAGGTGAGCACATCACCGCTCCGCAACCTAGACTCCCCAAGAGTGGCTGCTGAGTTCAGAATGCTTGCAGAAGAGTCCACGAGTCGGCCCCTGCCAACTTCCAGAGTCTTCTGTGCCCTGTTGTTGAACGAGCCTACCCACTCCTCCTCTTCTGCTTCGAGTGAAGCTGTCCTGCCACTTAGCAGGCTCACCTGAATGGTAAGGGGCATGGTGCTACGCAGGCAACCCTCACTCCGACAATGGTTCTCGCCTTGGGCCAATCGCCTCAGTTTTCAAGGGCTTTTCGGCGTTTGAGGTTGAGGGTGTGAGCGATCAAAGTCTCATCCTTGCCCAAACCTGAGCTTGATTGTGACACCATACTATATTTGCTGCTGCTGCTGTAATCTGACCCCTGTTTCACTCGCCCTACCAGCCCTTTCCCCCCCTCCCAGCTGGAAAAGCCCCAACATACTGCATTCCCAACCCAGCTCCCGAGACTTCTGTAGAAATCAGCGTCAAAGCTGACAGAGCCTCTAAAGCAATTTCCAGGGCTTCAATAAACCTGGGACTGGAAATGGGCTCAGCAGACCCTCTACTGGCAACATCAAGGACGAAAGCCCGTGTCTTTGTCTGCTTGGCGGATAACAGAACGGGTCGCTTTCGATCTCCACACTTGTGGGGAGGCAGAATGACAAAAGGACGGCGCTGGGTCTTGGTCAACTTGGTCAAAACAACGCAATGCGTCGTTAACTTCGCATTCGCATATTCGAGTGTGGGAGTGTGTGAGAAAGCGCAGGGGTGTGGGGAGCTGTGTTCACAAAGCATCTTGGATGTAGCATAATTTCGTCAAAACGCCGCCTCTGAAGCAGCAAGGATCTTCCTCTTTAAAAGGGCGCCGTCTCCGTACTAGGGGCCTGGTCCGGAAATTCAGACCCGGAACTACATCACCATGTTGAGCAGCTTGCCTGAGGCGCACATGTCAATGAGGGCAAGCCCGAGGAAGCAGGAAGCCTTTGAACTCCCAAAACCCTGTAAAACCTGAAGCCACAAGCATGGAAGCCCCGACAGCGCGCAACAAGTCTGCAAGCAACTCGGTTCTTGGGATTCTCCAGTAACAACTTTACGCGCTCGCCACTCTTCATGAACAATAGGTTTCAAGTTCGAAGAGCCCCCAAGAGCCTCCAGTCATAACTCACTTTGTAGGGTTTAGGGTTTAGGGTTTAGGGTTTAGGGGGTTTAGGGTTTAGGGTTTAGGGTTTAACATACGAGTAGCGTGAACTTGATCGGAACCCTGTCCCGAGCGGCTGATGACGGGGAAGAGGCGAAGCTGATTCCACTGGTCATGCCCACCTTTGGCAGATGCTGGGTTTAGGGTTTAGGGTTTAGGGTTTAGGGTTCAGGGTTTAGGGTTTAGGGTTTAGGGTTTAGGGTTTAGGGTTTAGGGTTTAGGGTTTGTGTTGCACGCAGACTCAGGCCGACGAAGGCTTCAAAAGCGCATGAACCAAGTACGGGTTTCATGTTCTTTGCGGCTTCGGCATCATGGCATCTCAAGTCCTCGAACCCTCAGTGCAGGGCCAAAACTACAACCCCCCCCCCCCCCCCCCAAAAAAAAAAAAAAAAAAAGAATATGCAAGGCACAAACCCCTTTGCTGGCGCCTGGACACAGCGCGGGATCGCGCCGGAGAAGAAGGCTGCAGGGCCCTCGGTTCGGAGCATCTTGGTCCTGGGCTGCTTCTGGCCCTTG